TGATAGTTTAAATATATCCTTGCATATACCATATAGTATATCACATTGCTAGGATATATCATCTTAGTTATATTGCTTATTCTTGCTCATATCACATTGTATATCTATCTTCCAAGAATAAATTATTAGTTAGTTTTAATTAGCATAATATCGGATTAGATTAGCATAAGACCCTATTCACCCCCCTCTAAGGTTCCTTTCATAGCGACCTTAGAGTCTAACAGGGTTGAACAAAAGTCAACCCAAACTGCCCGAAACCGACCGCTGCAATTAAAAAGTTATAGGATTTTGAATTTTACTGTTATATATACCTTCGTATGCAATTAAGCGAAGTTGAAACTGATTACTCAATCACGAGCGTATGTCACGAAACGTGTGCTTCCTTTCACAACATAATCGATAATTCTAAATTGGTATATGCTAGGGCTGTCCATCCGGGCCGGCCCGGCCTGGCCCTTTTTTTTGTTTTTTTGTTTTTTTTTATTTTTAAAATTTTTAAAAAATTTTCAAAATTCCCATAAATCATAAAATATACATAAAAATTATAGAAAATGACATAAATTTTTTAACTAACTTGAAATGACATAAATTACAAGTACAAAAAAATATAAAAATAAAAGATGATAAAAATAACTTCTTATTAATAATCAGTAAATCTTTTACAAGTATAAATTTATTTCAGAATTTGTCGCATCACAATAGATGAGTACATCCCAACTAGGTTGGCACGTACTCACCTATATCACTATCATTTATAACTTTTTCCAAAATAATTCATTACAAATTTAAAGCTAAGGAATAAAAATTATAATTTGATGAATATTATCTAATCTTTATACCTATCTGCTAGTCACAACTCTTCAAATTTATCTTCAATTCTAGTCATCTGATTGATGCCCTGCGTTCGCTTCTCGTACCTCCACCAGTCTTGGAAGTACATTACCGCTTGAACAGTATACGGATCTAAGCATGTCATGTGGTCATCGATCAAACATCATGTTGTGCTGAAGGCAGATTTCAAAGCTACCGTCGAAACCTGTACTGTTAGTAAGTCACGAACCATGGTGGAAAGTATAGGATATGAAACTGATCCATATACTCTCCACCATTAAAAAATATCTAAAGCATTTCCTTGACATTTAACTAAGAAAGCAGATAAATATTCATCTATTTCAAAAACCTCTAATACTGATCCAAGTCTAGATCCACCAGTTAGTTCAGCTACCATTGCATACCTATCAAAACTTACACTTTTATCTCGACCTGTGCTCGAAGGCGCCGAAGCTGTAGACTGTTGTGCAGCTACACCATGTCTAGCTACATACTCATCAAATAATGTTTGAAAATAATTTCTAATAGCTAAATGATAAGAAGTAGTAGTAAGGGTGGATCCATCATCTAAGTCTATAATTTGTCCACCATATAATGATTGTAACAAACTTCGAAGGCCAATATCCTTCAAACATGGATCAATAAGAAACCCCAAACCAAAAATATGAGGAATAGGCCTAAAATACTTATTAAATTTGCTTTTCATTTGAAAAATTATAGATCCAAAAGTATCATCCATACAATATTTTGAAAAAAACTTTTGAATATTTAAAATTTGTAAAGCAGCTAAAGCAATTGTTGGATAATAACAGCCAGATAATAATATTGTAGCATCATAAAAAACTTGTAACATCTCATTTAAATTACATATAATTATCCATTCATCTTCAGTTATTCCATAACTATTACCAGAGCTAGAACTAGAAGCATAAAAATTTATAAAATTATTTATAATTTTTTATATTCTATTGCTACACTTAACATTGCATAGGTGGAATTCCACCTATGGTCAACATCTTTTGGAATTAGTCTGGGCTTATATTTTTTTTCTTTTACAACATTGTTTTCATCTTTTAATTCTCATTTTAGAAGCATTATGCATATTAGCAACAGTTCTAACCTTTTCTATCATGGGTTTAATTTCAGAAAATACACTTTGAACAATTAAATTTAAAATATGACAGATACATCTAATATAAAAAAGTTCACCATGACATGATAATGACAGAATTCTTTTGATAAAATCAACAGCTACTTATTATTACTTGCATTATCTAGGAAAAGAAAAAATATTCTTTGATCAATTTCTAGTTTCATAAGTTCTTCAATTATTAAATTTACAATATTAATACTAGTATGTGACTCTTCAACTGCAATAAAAGAAATAACTCTTTTAAACATTTGCCAATTTTTATCAATCCAGTGTGCTGTGATACATAAATAACCAGTTTGCACTCTAGATGTCCAAATATCAGAAGTTAAAGAAAATTTACAGTTTAAATTTTAAAATAAGAAATTATTTTTTCTTGTTCCTCCTGATAATATTTTAAAATATCACGTTGACAAGTTTGATGAGAAAATTTGATAAATGTAGGATAAAAACCATCTTTAAACAAATCTTCAAATTAATCATCTTCTACTAACCTAAAAGGAAGGTTTTTAAGAACGATAAACCTGATTACGCATTTCCTAGCTCGAGCAGCGTCATAACTACAACTACCGAGACTGTCATAGGAGGAGGATTGAGAAATCATAGATTGTCGGATATCACCTTGAAGATTCTGGCATTTGTTGTGTTTTTCAATATGGCGTTTGAGGTGGTTGGTGCCGCTCTTATGATGAGCTTGGAAAATCTGGCCGCACAACGCACATTTAGCCTTTTGGGTGATGATCCTACCGTGTTCATCCTTGGTGACGTCTATCTTCTCAAAAAAATTCCACACGTCGGATCTCGGCTTTTTAGGAGCTCTTGGTGCAGATTCGTCACCACCAGCTTTAGGATTAACACCGGTAGGAGGAGTAGTTGTTGTAGGAGGACTCATTTCTGAATCAGTAGGAGATAGATTTTGCTCTTCATATTCAGATCCAGAAGCCATTTGATGAAAGTATTAGAAAATATAAGAGATTATAAGAGAGTATAATATTGTATAAGAGAGTATTAGAGAGAAGTAGAAGAGTTTTGGTGTGAGAAGAAGAAGTGAAAACCCTCTTCTATTTATAGAGGCAGCCCCCTAGGCAAATGATCAAAAAACCCTCACATTTTGATCGTTTTTTACCGTTGTTGGAGGCACAACGGTCAAAACCCTCTTCTGTTTTGACCGTTATGTCCGGCCCGGCCGGCCCGGCCAAAACGGTCATTTTTTTGACCGTTTTGGCCTGGCCGGGCCTGCGGCACCCAACGAATACCTTAGGTGAGCCGCTTGGGACCGGCACGACCCGCTTTAACCACAAACGCCATCAGCCTTCTAGGAGATCAGTTTCATCCGGCGTACTGAGCTCCGCCGTGGGCCCAGATCGGCCCGGCGAGCCGCGAGTCTCAGCTGCCCCTAGTCCTGCCGGCCCACTGTTCTGCGGGCCGCGCCGCGCGCCGAGCCATGCCTTGGCCAAAACCATCGGCCCAGGGCCTCGCGCGCCCGGTGGCCGGGCCCAGCCCGCGGGCTTTTCAGACAGCCCTAGTATATGCTAATTAGTTGGAAATTGGAATGAATGAACATTTGAGATTATACCCCCTAAAAGACTTCTGTCTACTCCACTATTTCTACTTGTAGCATACTCATCAAGTCATCATCTTCAATCCTTCAACTTTAGGTTCAACTTCCAACCAAAACCAATACTGAACCAATGTCAGAACAACAACAATGCCTTCAACTGTCTTTGGCTTCGGACTCAGCGCCATAGGTGGAGCCGGATGAATGTAGTTCTTCTATTGTTAGCAATTCTTTATCTATCACCAGGTAATATGAACCTTTTGTTTCCTAAACAAGTTCATTGCTTTTATCAATAAATATGAAAAATCTATCTTCATACAAGTGTTATTTTTAATTTAGCATAGTGTGATTCCAGTTTAGCATTTAGTTACAACTTGATCGATGATTGCAAACGATCAAGCTTTCATATTTTAGGAGGCTTATTAACAATTTAATATGTTAACTTGGAAACATTGGATAAAACGTGTCATTTAGTGTCCATTTAATTTATTACATGTGACGATTCTCTGAAGATTTAGAGTTTCTTGAGCTATTGGTACGAGTATTGAGCCATGCGTGCTCTATTATTTGCTAACATATTTCAGTTAGTTTGATAAAAACAGAGAGCAAATGATTTTCACCAGTGGTGTTTTATTAAAGCATTACTACTTAGTTCGCTACCACAACCGATGAACCGACATGGGCACCGAACCGAATTTGATCAGTGCAGTTCAGTTGCAACAATCATTCAGTACGGTTTCGGTTTGATTATTTTTCCCCGAAACAAGCCGACCGAGCTCACCCCTGTTCAGATATATTTGGATATGAATCCGGATGTTTCACTACAAATCCATATCCATAATTATATCCTATTGGTTATAGATTTGAGGAACCATATTCATATCCTAAAGGATATAGTTACGGATATTTTCTCGAATACGGATACGGTTTTAGCACCTGCCCACATCCAAATATCAAATTTTATTCATAACATGAATGAGCTTCCGTCCAAATACCAGATATACCTATCATCCTGATGAATGAATTTAAGTCTATAGCAGGAAGAAATAAGGTATTTCTCTCTAAGATCACAAGGAAGAAAATAGATAAACACACCGTAACAGTATTTAGCTTTGTCCTACCATGGTATCATAAAAGTCAAACTTTGGTATGACGTCTTGTTACTCAGGATAAAATTTGTTTTCCAAGAAAGTTAACATGAAATATGAAGCAAACATAAAGCATTAAAAGCAATTTTGTTAATTCTTTTTGAAAAAAAAAATTAACTTGGATCTAACAATATTGTTGTATACAACTTACAAAACAAAATAACAAAGAAAAACAATAAAAGAACTAAAATCCCACCTTTACATATTAGAAAAGCGCCAGAAAATTCAAATTCAATGTTTACTGAGTGAAGAGCAAAAAAAAGCACGGATAATTAATTGCAGAACAATTAGTGAAATCATGAGCTAGCAATAGTTTTGTGACAATGCCCGAGCTTTCTCTCCCGAGCAAAATTATTTTCCTTTAGTAAATGAAACCAAACATATCCCAGGCATCAAAATTTTCAAGAGTCTATACAAGAAAACCAGAGTTTCCTCACCAAATCTCTTACATATTACATGAAATGGCAAAAAAATTTATTTCGAAGATCACAATGACCAAAAAATTCTCTCATTGCAAAATAACAATTAACAAAGTTCGGACGCAAGGCCTCCGCCGAAAGGAAAACAAATGTAAGGGACCCATATGGAAAAATAATGGTTATTGACAACGATGGAGCCGTATGAGAATGAAACCTGGCATTTGAGTTGGCCGTTGTTAGGGCAGCTGAAGTAACAGCTGACTGCCAGACCCTTAAGAATATCAAAATTGGTAACATCCAGCAAAGCGACACATTTGCCCCTTGTGAAGGTTGAGTAAATATATACCAGGAGTAATCGAAATGCTGCAGGAAGATTACGCATGCCTCCATCTTCTGGATGCTCCGACAGCATCAAAACTAATTCCCCATCTTTAGGGGTTGTGTAGTTGCTGCCATTCAGCAACTTGATTCAGGAGGGCCTTCCTGAAAAAAATGATAAAAGAACTTCTTGATGATGTTACTTTCCAGATTAAACTTTGGGAAACATAAAGAATTTAAGTTTAAGGTCAAGTATCCAGAAGTTTCAGGATATAAACCAAGAATCTGAAGAAGTTCAACAAACACAACAATACAACCTATAATTTTGGGCATCCTACCAATGAGTAAAGTAAATACAGGTCCCCGTTGACTATCCTTCAGTACATTTTTTTCGATAGAACTCCGAACATGTCATACAGATAGCAGGCCATAAATATGCTTTTATAATTGGCTAGCATTAGTTACATTACCAGAATGACAAATGTAAGGCATAATGATTGAGACCTTCAACGCCATTGTAATTCCTTTTTGACTCCAATAACCATGTTAAAGGGTCCAAATTAAGTATTAACACCTACTGAAATGAGGTGACCTCTACACTGCATGTAATGTGACTATCAAGTAAGAAGGAACATGTCAACTGTCAACCTACTTGGTGACTATTCATGTATCATGCACACAGATACAATTACAAGGTGAATGACAAGAAAGAGAGTTGCAGATTACAAGAAGAAATTGTAAAATATTTTGTGATAACTCTTTTAGTCAGACCAAAACCTACAATTTAACGTCTTCAATTAGACACCTTTCTCAAAGTGATCATAGAGCATGGAGAAGGCATTTAACAAGGACCCAGGCTCCATCTTGTTTGGTTGCCCATCTTGTTATAAGGCATTTGAAATACCCAGGCTCCATCTTGTTTGGTTGCCCATAATTTGCAGTATCAGATGTGAATATAGCAATACCACATATTAGGATGAAATGTACCAAGAAAATTACAGCCTGTGCCTATACTGTTTGGCTAGCTGCAGTCAGTCCCCATTCTTTACTCAGTCGTTTGGTTCTGCTTTTTGCTCACATGTAATTCCATAACAAATAACTATTCAGCTAATTTAAATTCAGCAAGAAAATAGTAGCACATGATCTGTCTTTTTTGAATAGAAAAGAAGATGCAGTGGTAGAATGAAGGCATAATCCTCAAAGATCGGGTCAATTAAAGAAGTGTAATAAAAGAAGTCTGAAACCAATACGAGTCATTGACAGGTAGTAAGGTTTGGACTAAGATGTCATTGACAAATGCAATTTCAAATCAAAAATAGCTACTAAAAGGAGAAACTGCACTGATGAAGCAGAACGACAACATACCTCTTAACTGAGGCCTACATTCTGCTTGTTGTGGTTGAGCTTTTCCAAAACAAGGAGCAATAAGAGCATCCAATTTAACCATCCAAAGTGCAACAGCAGAGGTTGTCTGCGGCATAGTCTGGAAGCATACAATTATGTCATCCAGAGCAGCATGGCTACCTAATTTAGAAGCACATCCATATAACCATTCTTCATTTATGACCCCAACAAAATCAGTAACAACCTGTTATCAACCCAGAAAACGAAACATGTCAGAGCTCGTCAAGCTTTACAGTCTCAAGCAATTCTTTGTATTAATAAATGTATAACTTGATGGTAAAACAAAAAAACCTGAAGAAGTTCTGGCAAGGATGATGTGCGTTGAAGACGCTTAACCCAAAGATTATGAGCTGACCTTGTCCAAGCAGCTGACAACGCAGCTTCAGGCATGCATGCCTACGAGATTTTCAACAAGAATTTTGTCAATTACAGAAGCAAATTCATGTATGTACGCTACCCTTATAGCGACACATACAAGTACCAATATATGCACATACATGCACAATACAGAGGGGTTTGTGCAAAGAAAGGCAGTTAAATGTAGGTAAGCTCTCACCTCGATTGCATGAATTGCTGCTTTGAGAGCTTGCAGTTGTGATGGCAGAACCTTATGCTTTGGAAACTCACAGCTATCCTCTTTCGTCCTACAAGTTGCTACATGGACAGCATATTTTTCCTCAAGATCAAAGTCTAATTCAAAAGTAAGATGACATATTCTACAATGTTTCTCATCTCTCAGGTACAAATCATGGCAGCTCTGGCATCGAGTTAATGTTTCCATATATGACCTTTTAGTTCTTTTAATGGCATTAAGATGAGAATAAAAACCATTCCAAACCCATTTATCAAATGCTTGCAAGCGATCCCATTTCTGTTTCTCCTCTCTTCTAGTCTTTCCAAGTTCAAGAACCATGCCACCAGATGCAGCTCTGTCTATGGGTTCTAGAGACCTTGAGATATTGTCTACATCGGAAACAGCTGAAGAGCCATCCCCACTATTACTGTCAAATTCAGTAGAATAACACCCTCTCTCTTGCCTGCCAGTAAATTCATTAGTCATCCAATCGTCCATTGCTTGACAAAGAGAATTTGCTCTTTTGTCCAAAGATGCAAACAAATGAGCTTCCCGTGTACCCCTGCAATCTAAAGATGATAATAGAGCATCGAAGGCCTGCAACAGTTAAAAGACAACTTAAGTGATATGAATGATAGTTTATCTTGTAGGAATATTAGAAGAAAATAACTTGGTTAGCAAAATGCCAGTAAGGAGTGACCTGTGCTGTATCAATGACCTTCCAGTGGCCATCTTCAGAAGACTCAAAATAAACCCGACGGTGGCCTGGATCATGTGCATCACAAGGACCAAGAAAGAGCCAATAACTATTGTACCTGCGATCATATCCTAAATGGACTGATTGCACTTGGTGTATATCAGGCTGAGATTTGTCTTCAGCTTCAGTACCATTTGCTATGGAGGTTTTCACCCCTTTAGAGGCTCCTGAGATAATTTCTAAATCTTGTTGGTGGCTGCGTGTTGATGATTTCTTTATTTTTGCACCTGATCCATGACACCACGAATTAGGCATGGTGGCTGGTAGGGTTTTCCCAGATTCCTGTGTACAGATAGTTTCATACCAGAGGTAAGTCATCTATAAGCTAGTGATCACACTATAAGGACATGAAAAATACGGACCACTGGATTTTTGAACTTGTATAAGTGGCATAATCAAGGTTTTAAATATCTGAAATTGGGGAAATATCGGATGGCCAAAATTCATACCAAATTGCGGATATCGGGAAATATCGGGGATACATAGTAAATATGTGATTGTCATAGCAAATGATATGCATATATGATATAATGTCCTAAAATGTAATATAATAAACATACTACAAAAAAGCTAAGCATACTCAATTGAGTCTAAACCATTCTTTTAAAGCAAATAAAAGTTTGAATCGACATTGCAACATTTTAGCCAATTTGTTTGAGGTCAATACATCTCCTGATATCTCGGGAAATCATGATATATCACCCAAAAATTGATGGCATATTTTTCTGCGACAAGCCATATAACAGGACATATCAGCTGATATATTAGCCATGTTGGAAAAATATCGGCCAAAAGCTGCCAAAAAGTGTAAAAGCATAATGAGACCAAATCTTCTTGCAGCAGGCCTTATAAAGGAATAAATCAGACAATATATCGGCTATATTAGGATATCTAAAACTATGGGCATGACAAGCTAGTCATGTTAGAAGTATTCATTACATATGCAAGAATAAGTGCCGATGATATGCAACTATCTGTCTGCATCTATACCTGTCAGAATGGATTTGTTTAGTTCTTTCTTTACCATGAGCTTGTTGCATAATTATTTAACGGGATATACCATCAGATGCAAAATTCGTTAATTAACTGTATAAGCTTGCTCTCTCTTGACTATTAAAAGTAGTTAATCTCTACTATAATAAGATATCAGATGCAGTTGTGTTAACAAATTAATTGAAAAGAGTAACAAATACACTATTGAGAGTAGAGGCAATTAAAGTTGAATTATATGATAAGTTATCAAGAAAATAATAAAACTTTAATAGCTAAACCAACAAAAAAAGTCAAGCATGACATGCCATGACCTTTGCAGATGAAGTTATCTCAAGAAAATAAAGAGAAACATGCAGCATGACAAGCAAGCTTATATTGACAAAGGAGATCGGAAGGCCAGAGTTTCAATGTATGCACTAGCAATTATACGATATGTATATGTAGCTCATTTTACCTCCATTCTATAAACGGAAGCAGCTCCAGCAAGGTCAAGCAGAGCAATTAAAACATCCAGCTTCTCATTGATGCTTAAATCTGAGTATTCACCCTCCATCAAACCTAATACCCATGCTTCCCCTGAATAACTCTCATCAATTTCAGTATATTCTGTCAACTGCTGGCCTGTTCTTTTACACCGTCTTTTGTATCTTTTGGTTCTCTGACCAGTTGAGTTCAACTCCTCAGAAGCATCAGACTCATCATTACTGCTACTAGCACTAAAATTGTCATCCACGCTGCCCGAATCATCACTATCAGATTGATGACCCTCCTTTCCTTTAATATCCGGGCCTATACGAAGGCGATAAGCAGAAGGAGCAATCTTCTCAAATAATGTAATATCACTCGATAGAGTCAAGCATATTTGTTCTTCTACTTCTTTGTTAGTATTTGGTAGGTCCAGTGCAACAACCTGAAGAAACAATAATAAAAAACCAACAATTATATTAAATTCAATTTAATTGCAATTTCTATGAAAACTAAGTTTATACCTGCGGAGCTTTTGCCAACTCACAAACTGTTAGTCCACCATTTCCTTGCTCAGATAAAATAGCAAATAATTCACCTTTCAATGTGCGAGAACGTAGGCCATATTTTTCCATCTGATTCCTCTCCTATATTATATCAATACAGAAGATCAAATGAAGGCAGCTTCTTTTAGTTTTTTTAAGATTGTGTATAGAACAACATACTTTTGTTTATATTTGAGATAGGGTTTCCAGGTTTCTTCCTGGAAACCGCCTTAAAAATAGGGTTATTATACATAAACCACCTTTTATTTTAAATTTATATGTAAACCATCTTAAAAATGAGTCTTTGTTCCAATCAGCCACCTCCCAGTCAAAATTTTCTTTCAAAATCCAAAAATACTCCTAAAAAACTGGCATTCAAGACATGTGACTCACTTTTTAATGTTTTGGTCTAGTTATGATACTTGTCATGTCCCTTAAACATGCATTTCTAAGCTTATTTTTTGGTTTTTTAGTGAAATTTTTGATTGGAACAAGAACTCGCTTTAAAGATGGTTTACATATAAATTGAAAATAAAAGGTGGTTTCTGTATAATGACCCTATTTTTAAGGTGGTTTCCATGAAAAAACACCTTTAAGATAACACAAAATTCCATGATTACAAGGACATTCCCGAGGGAGTATAATCATAGAGGATCATACAGGATATGTATAAACATGCAAGATGAGAAGCAAACAATATGCCTGCAAATATAAATATTCTACAAGGAGCTGGGGGAGGGATGTCTCGACTTAGATGCTAACTAATAAAGTTCCAACGAGAGTTGACTCATGTGGTATCCTAGGGAGACAACATTTCTGGTACTTCGGCAAATGATCAAAAAACCCTCACATTTTGATCGTTTTTTACCGTTGTTGGAGGCACAACGGTCAAAACCCTCTTCTGTTTTGACCGTTATGTCCGGCCCGGCCGGCCCGGCCGGGCCCGGCCCGGTGGCCGGGCCCAGCCCGCGGGCTTTTCAGACAGCCCTAGTATATGCTAATTAGTTGGAAATTGGAATGAATGAACATTTGAGATTATACCCCCTAAAAGACTTCTGTCTACTCCACTATTTCTACTTGTAGCATACTCATCAAGTCATCATGCCCGGGCCCGGCCCGGTGGCCGGGCCCAGCCCGCGGGCTTTTCAGACAGCCCTAGTATATGCTAATTAGTTGGAAATTGGAATGAATGAACATTTGAGATTATACCCCCTAAAAGACTTCTGTCTACTCCACTATTTCTACTTGTAGCATACTCATCAAGTCATCATCTTCAATCCTTCAACTTTAGGTTCAACTTCCAACCAAAACCAATACTGAACCAATGTCAGAACAACAACAATGCCTTCAACTGTCTTTGGCTTCGGACTCAGCGCCATAGGTGGAGCCGGATGAATGTAGTTCTTCTATTGTTAGCAATTCTTTATCTATCACCAGGTAATATGAACCTTTTGTTTCCTAAACAAGTTCATTGCTTTTATCAATAAATATGAAAAATCTATCTTCATACAAGTGTTATTTTTAATTTAGCATAGTGTGATTCCAGTTTAGCATTTAGTTACAACTTGATCGATGATTGCAAACGATCAAGCTTTCATATTTTAGGAGGCTTATTAACAATTTAATATGTTAACTTGGAAACATTGGATAAAACGTGTCATTTAGTGTCCATTTAATTTATTACATGTGACGATTCTCTGAAGATTTAGAGTTTCTTGAGCTATTGGTACGAGTATTGAGCCATGCGTGCTCTATTATTTGCTAACATATTTCAGTTAGTTTGATAAAAACAGAGAGCAAATGATTTTCACCAGTGGTGTTTTATTAAAGCATTACTACTTAGTTCGCTACCACAACCGATGAACCGACATGGGCACCGAACCGAATTTGATCAGTGCAGTTCAGTTGCAACAATCATTCAGTACGGTTTCGGTTTGATTATTTTTCCCCGAAACAAGCCGACCGAGCTCACCCCTGTTCAGATATATTTGGATATGAATCCGGATGTTTCACTACAAATCCATATCCATAATTATATCCTATTGGTTATAGATTTGAGGAACCATATTCATATCCTAAAGGATATAGTTACGGATATTTTCTCGAATACGGATACGGTTTTAGCACCTGCCCACATCCAAATATCAAATTTTATTCATAACATGAATGAGCTTCCGTCCAAATACCAGATATACCTATCATCCTGATGAATGAATTTAAGTCTATAGCAGGAAGAAATAAGGTATTTCTCTCTAAGATCACAAGGAAGAAAATAGATAAACACACCGTAACAGTATTTAGCTTTGTCCTACCATGGTATCATAAAAGTCAAACTTTGGTATGACGTCTTGTTACTCAGGATAAAATTTGTTTTCCAAGAAAGTTAACATGAAATATGAAGCAAACATAAAGCATTAAAAGCAATTTTGTTAATTCTTTTTGAAAAAAAAAATTAACTTGGATCTAACAATATTGTTGTATACAACTTACAAAACAAAATAACAAAGAAAAACAATAAAAGAACTAAAATCCCACCTTTACATATTAGAAAAGCGCCAGAAAATTCAAATTCAATGTTTACTGAGTGAAGAGCAAAAAAAAGCACGGATAATTAATTGCAGAACAATTAGTGAAATCATGAGCTAGCAATAGTTTTGTGACAATGCCCGAGCTTTCTCTCCCGAGCAAAATTATTTTCCTTTAGTAAATGAAACCAAACATATCCCAGGCATCAAAATTTTCAAGAGTCTATACAAGAAAACCAGAGTTTCCTCACCAAATCTCTTACATATTACATGAAATGGCAAAAAAATTTATTTCGAAGATCACAATGACCAAAAAATTCTCTCATTGCAAAATAACAATTAACAAAGTTCGGACGCAAGGCCTCCGCCGAAAGGAAAACAAATGTAAGGGACCCATATGGAAAAATAATGGTTATTGACAACGATGGAGCCGTATGAGAATGAAACCTGGCATTTGAGTTGGCCGTTGTTAGGGCAGCTGAAGTAACAGCTGACTGCCAGACCCTTAAGAATATCAAAATTGGTAACATCCAGCAAAGCGACACATTTGCCCCTTGTGAAGGTTGAGTAAATATATACCAGGAGTAATCGAAATGCTGCAGGAAGATTACGCATGCCTCCATCTTCTGGATGCTCCGACAGCATCAAAACTAATTCCCCATCTTTAGGGGTTGTGTAGTTGCTGCCATTCAGCAACTTGATTCAGGAGGGCCTTCCTGAAAAAAATGATAAAAGAACTTCTTGATGATGTTACTTTCCAGATTAAACTTTGGGAAACATAAAGAATTTAAGTTTAAGGTCAAGTATCCAGAAGTTTCAGGATATAAACCAAGAATCTGAAGAAGTTCAACAAACACAACAATACAACCTATAATTTTGGGCATCCTACCAATGAGTAAAGTAAATACAGGTCCCCGTTGACTATCCTTCAGTACATTTTTTTCGATAGAACTCCGAACATGTCATACAGATAGCAGGCCATAAATATGCTTTTATAATTGGCTAGCATTAGTTACATTACCAGAATGACAAATGTAAGGCATAATGATTGAGACCTTCAACGCCATTGTAATTCCTTTTTGACTCCAATAACCATGTTAAAGGGTCCAAATTAAGTATTAACACCTACTGAAATGAGGTGACCTCTACACTGCATGTAATGTGACTATCAAGTAAGAAGGAACATGTCAACTGTCAACCTACTTGGTGACTATTCATGTATCATGCACACAGATACAATTACAAGGTGAATGACAAGAAAGAGAGTTGCAGATTACAAGAAGAAATTGTAAAATATTTTGTGATAACTCTTTTAGTCAGACCAAAACCTACAATTTAACGTCTTCAATTAGACACCTTTCTCAAAGTGATCATAGAGCATGGAGAAGGCATTTAACAAGGACCCAGGCTCCATCTTGTTTGGTTGCCCATCTTGTTATAAGGCATTTGAAATACCCAGGCTCCATCTTGTTTGGTTGCCCATAATTTGCAGTATCAGATGTGAATATAGCAATACCACATATTAGGATGAAATGTACCAAGAAAATTACAGCCTGTGCCTATACTGTTTGGCTAGCTGCAGTCAGTCCCCATTCTTTACTCAGTCGTTTGGTTCTGCTTTTTGCTCACATGTAATTCCATAACAAATAACTATTCAGCTAATTTAAATTCAGCAAGAAAATAGTAGCACATGATCTGTCTTTTTTGAATAGAAAAGAAGATGCAGTGGTAGAATGAAGGCATAATCCTCAAAGATCGGGTCAATTAAAGAAGTGTAATAAAAGAAGTCTGAAACCAATACGAGTCATTGACAGGTAGTAAGGTTTGGACTAAGATGTCATTGACAAATGCAATTTCAAATCAAAAATAGCTACTAAAAGGAGAAACTGCACTGATGAAGCAGAACGACAACATACCTCTTAACTGAGGCCTACATTCTGCTTGTTGTGGTTGAGCTTTTCCAAAACAAGGAGCAATAAGAGCATCCAATTTAACCATCCAAAGTGCAACAGCAGAGGTTGTCTGCGGCATAGTCTGGAAGCATACAATTATGTCATCCAGAGCAGCATGGCTACCTAATTTAGAAGCACATCCATATAACCATTCTTCATTTATGACCCCAACAAAATCAGTAACAACCTGTTATCAACCCAGAAAACGAAACATGTCAGAGCTCGTCAAGCTTTACAGTCTCAAGCAATTCTTTGTATTAATAAATGTATAACTTGATGGTAAAACAAAAAAACCTGAAGAAGTTCTGGCAAGGATGATGTGCGTTGAAGACGCTTAACCCAAAGATTATGAGCTGACCTTGTCCAAGCAGCTGACAACGCAGCTTCAGGCATGCATGCCTACGAGATTTTCAACAAGAATTTTGTCAATTACAGAAGCAAATTCATGTATGTACGCTACCCTTATAGCGACACATACAAGTACCAATATATGCACATACATGCACAATACAGAGGGGTTTGTGCAAAGAAAGGCAGTTAAATGTAGGTAAGCTCTCACCTCGATTGCATGAATTGCTGCTTTGAGAGCTTGCAGTTGTGATGGCAGAACCTTATGCTTTGGAAACTCACAGCTATCCTCTTTCGTCCTACAAGTTGCTACATGGACAGCATATTTTTCCTCAAGATCAAAGTCTAATTCAAAAGTAAGATGACATATTCTACAATGTTTCTCATCTCTCAGGTACAAATCATGGCAGCTCTGGCATCGAGTTAATGTTTCCATATATGACCTTTTAGTTCTTTTAATGGCATTAAGATGAGAATAAAAACCATTCCAAACCCATTTATCAAATGCTTGCAAGCGATCCCATTTCTGTTTCTCCTCTCTTCTAGTCTTTCCAAGTTCAAGAACCATGCCACCAGATGCAGCTCTGTCTATGGGTTCTAGAGACCTTGAGATATTGTCTACATCGGAAACAGCTGAAGAGCCATCCCCACTATTACTGTCAAATTCAGTAGAATAACACCCTCTCTCTTGCCTGCCAGTAAATTCATTAGTCATCCAATCGTCCATTGCTTGACAAAGAGAATTTGCTCTTTTGTCCAAAGATGCAAACAAATGAGCTTCCCGTGTACCCCTGCAATCTAAAGATGATAATAGAGCATCGAAGGCCTGCAACAGTTAAAAGACAACTTAAGTGATATGAATGATAGTTTATCTTGTAGGAATATTAGAAGAAAATAACTTGGTTAGCAAAATGCCAGTAAGGAGTGACCTGTGCTGTATCAATGACCTTCCAGTGGCCATCTTCAGAAGACTCAAAATAAACCCGACGGTGGCCTGGATCATGTGCATCACAAGGACCAAGAAAGAGCCAATAACTATTGTACCTGCGATCATATCCTAAATGGACTGATTGCACTTGGTGTATATCAGGCTGAGATTTGTCTTCAGCTTCAGTACCATTTGCTATGGAGGTTTTCACCCCTTTAGAGGCTCCTGAGATAATTTCTAAATCTTGTTGGTGGCTGCGTGTTGATGATTTCTTTATTTTTGCACCTGATCCATGACACCACGAATTAGGCATGGTGGCTGGTAGGGTTTTCCCAGATTCCTGTGTACAGATAGTTTCATACCAGAGGTAAGTCATCTATAAGCTAGTGATCACACTATAAGGACATGAAAAATACGGACCACTGGATTTTTGAACTTGTATAAGTGGCATAATCAAGGTTTTAAATATCTGAAATTGGGGAAATATCGGATGGCCAAAATTCATACCAAATTGCGGATATCGGGAAATATCGGGGATACATAGTAAATATGTGATTGTCATAGCAAATGATATGCATATATGATATAATGTCCTAAAATGTAATATAATAAACATACTACAAAAAAGCTAAGCATACTCAATTGAGTCTAAACCATTCTTTTAAAGCAAATAAAAGTTTGAATCGACATTGCAACATTTTAGCCAATTTGTTTGAGGTCAATACATCTCCTGATATCTCGGGAAATCATGATATATCACCCAAAAATTGATGGCATATTTTTCTGCGACAAGCCATATAACAGGACATATCAGCTGATATATTAGCCATGTTGGAAAAATATCGGCCAAAAGCTGCCAAAAAGTGTAAAAGCATAATGAGACCAAATCTTCTTGCAGCAGGCCTTATAAAGGAATAAATCAGACAATATATCGGCTATATTAGGATATCTAAAACTATGGGCATGACAAGCTAGTCATGTTAGAAGTATTCATTACATATGCAAGAATAAGTGCCGATGATATGCAACTATCTGTCTGCATCTATACCTGTCAGAATGGATTTGTTTAGTTCTTTCTTTACCATGAGCTTGTTGCATAATTATTTAACGGGATATACCATCAGATGCAAAATTCGTTAATTAACTGTATAAGCTTGCTCTCTCTTGACTATTAAAAGTAGTTAATCTCTACTATAATAAGATATCAGATGCAGTTGTGTTAACAAATTAATTGAAAAGAGTAACAAATACACTATTGAGAGTAGAGGCAATTAAAGTTGAATTATATGATAAGTTATCAAGAAAATAATAAAACTTTAATAGCTAAACCAACAAAAAAAGTCAAGCATGACATGCCATGACCTTTGCAGATGAAGTTATCTCAAGAAAATAAAGAGAAACATGCAGCATGACAAGCAAGCTTATATTGACAAAGGAGATCGGAAGGCCAGAGTTTCAATGTATGCACTAGCAATTATACGATATGTATATGTAGCTCATTTTACCTCCATTCTATAAACGGAAGCAGCTCCAGCAAGGTCAAGCAGAGCAATTAAAACATCCAGCTTCTCATTGATGCTTAAATCTGAGTATTCACCCTCCATCAAACCTAATACCCATGCTTCCCCTGAATAACTCTCATCAATTTCAGTATATTCTGTCAACTGCTGGCCTGTTCTTTTACACCGTCTTTTGTATCTTTTGGTTCTCTGACCAGTTGAGTTCAACTCCTCAGAAGCATCAGACTCATCATTACTGCTACTAGCACTAAAATTGTCATCCACGCTGCCCGAATCATCACTATCAGATTGATGACCCTCCTTTCCTTTAATATCCGGGCCTATACGAAGGCGATAAGCAGAAGGAGCAATCTTCTCAAATAATGTAATATCACTCGATAGAGTCAAGCATATTTGTTCTTCTACTTCTTTGTTAGTATTTGGTAGGTCCAGTGCAACAACCTGAAGAAACAATAATAAAAAACCAACAATTATATTAAATTCAATTTAATTGCAATTTCTATGAAAACTAAGTTTATACCTGCGGAGCTTTTGCCAACTCACAAACTGTTAGTCCACCATTTCCTTGCTCAGATAAAATAGCAAATAATTCACCTTTCAATGTGCGAGAACGTAGGCCATATTTTTCCATCTGATTCCTCTCCTATATTATATCAATACAGAAGATCAAATGAAGGCAGCTTCTTTTAGTTTTTTTAAGATTGTGTATAGAACAACATACTTTTGTTTATATTTGAGATAGGGTTTCCAGGTTTCTTCCTGGAAACCGCCTTAAAAATAGGGTTATTATACATAAACCACCTTTTATTTTAAATTTATATGTAAACCATCTTAAAAATGAGTCTTTGTTCCAATCAGCCACCTCCCAGTCAAAATTTTCTTTCAAAATCCAAAAATACTCCTAAAAAACTGGCATTCAAGACATGTGACTCACTTTTTAATGTTTTGGTCTAGTTATGATACTTGTCATGTCCCTTAAACATGCATTTCTAAGCTTATTTTTTGGTTTTTTAGTGAAATTTTTGATTGGAACAAGAACTCGCTTTAAAGATGGTTTACATATAAATTGAAAATAAAAGGTGGTTTCTGTATAATGACCCTATTTTTAAGGTGGTTTCCATGAAAAAACACCTTTAAGATAACACAAAATTCCATGATTACAAGGACATTCCCGAGGGAGTATAATCATAGAGGATCATACAGGATATGTATAAACATGCAAGATGAGAAGCAAACAATATGCCTGCAAATATAAATATTCTACAAGGAGCTGGGGGAGGGATGTCTCGACTTAGATGCTAACTAATAAAGTTCCAACGAGAGTTGACTCATGTGGTATCCTAGGGAGACAACATTTCTGGTACTTCCTACTACAGCCACAATACCAGAGTTCTAGCATGCTTAGATTTTGGTTAAAGAACCCGAGACTAATACCCATTATACTATGATGTCAGATAAGTTTAAACAACAATTTTAGAAAGGCTACTAATAGTTTAGTACAACCAACATATATAAGATATCTTTTTAACCCATATCATTCCATTGAACCTGTGACAGTGGAGGTTATTCTCTTTCAAGCGGAGTATTCAGAGGATAATAATACACGAGATCTAGAACTGTTATGTTCGGATTCTAGGTTAATTTAGAAAGTCGACAATAATGTGTTAGGGTCTTTCTGTGTCAAAGAAAACTGAATGGAATACTATATTACAGGTGAAACCATGAGACTAAACATCTATGAATGATGGGTACACAAGGAAAAAAGATTAAAAAAAACTTTTATATAAGCTCGAAGAGAATATTCATACACTAGAACTTGAAGATAGTGGTACAATATTGATGCACCGAAGATTGGAATATGCTTTCCTTAATAGTGTGGTTTAATGTACATAATTCGAACACCAGTCCATCATAACCAAAAACTAATAAAGCAAATCACAATATGCTATAATGGTCAGTGCTAATGTAAGCCTTATCTAGTTGGTAAATAGGTTAATCATATGCTGAGATGAAAAATAACCACTAATTTTAGTATACATAAAGTTCACTGTTCACAGAACAATAAGTTCAAAGAAAGTTCTGAAAGTAATGTTAAAGCCCAGTAGATACAGGAAACATTTGGCATTATGTAACTTGTAGTACAAGTACATTTGTTCTCAAGGTTCGTTCGTGTCTCAATTGCAAACTTTGTGATACTGAATGTACAGTTTCATGATACCTTGTTAAACATGGCTGTCCGTGCAGTATTCGATTTCAAACCAAAACCTGCTGCAACCAGAACCTGTCGCAGTACTTCCGTCCATGTAAGTGGATTGAGAAACTGGTTCCAAATGTTCATGTCACACTCCTGTTCTCTCACCTAGAACGCAAACCAAAGAACACTCCATTAAGGCACACACTAAAAGAAAGGCAATAAGAGTAGGACCTGGTCAGTGTATGGAATCATATTAATCAATGTACCAAAAGATTGAATTAATTAAACATGTAAATACCCCAAAATACAAATGTTACCTTGATTTGACTGATCAAATATCAAATTGAGGATATCAATTTATTTATTTTGTCTATAAAAAAGATGGCAGGTTATCATAGAGAAGCATGCAATTTAACCAGGTGCAGTAGTTGATATCTAAATTGACCAAGCACCTACGAAATTAACTTCCATATGACTAAATTCTAAATGGAAGAGTCACTTTGCTATATACAAAGAATTCAAATCTTTATGTAACTTTCTGGTGATCTGTTCTCATAAGAACAGTCACTGAAGAAGCATTCTCCTTGAGGATCTGGACTAGGGTGTTCTGGTTCTTCTTAGCGACACTCATCCTCTCAGTTCCAGCAGCATAAACACGAGCAAGAATACCAGTTGGATAAAGTATATTATACCATCAACGGAGAGATTTTCATTGATAATGAATGAATAAAAAGAGTTCGAAAGCATACTATACTGTAAAAAAATCATGCTTAGATACAGTAGTGACAAGTTAAGAAAGATAATAAATCCCCAGACTAAAAGAAAAGACTTTGAAATGAATACTCTTGCACAGATCCAACGTAAAGGTAACATGATAAATTACAATCAGAAATACAGTATGGTTAAGGTCAAAAACCAGTTTGAGATCTTAAAAACTTACAAAGTGTAAAAAACTGAGAAACCTGTGATCTTTTGATGCTCTGGGAATTAATCCAGCAGTTAATGCCCTTTGCACATCCAAAAGAAAAAGCTCGAGAAGAGCCACATGAATCTTTCCTAGTAACATTGAATCCTGCAAAATTGAAATACTTTTTGTCCAGTATGACTAAAAAATAGATAATGCAAAAAAATGATCTGGATAAACAAAAACATTGCAGGTCAAACCAAAACGTAGCAACTGACCTTGTCAGTGAATGCATGAGCAAGGTCATCAAGAGTATAGGGGCATATTTTGATGGTAGCAGCATTACCATACAAGAACCGGAAGATCTGAACAGTAAAGATTGGTCAGTGTGGGATACAAATATGGCAACATTGCATCTCAAGCGCACAACATTATCTTCAGTTTAACATTGAAACAATTTGAAAAAGAAAACTGAAATAACTAGGTAAAACGAGCTTACTTGCGTGTTAAAAGAAAGCTTCTTATGAACAGAGAAGATGATTAATCAGTACTAAGAAGACACTCATTTGTCTACTAACCTTGAAAAGCTTCTTTACAAGTTCTGGAGAAGAATCCCAAGGCCTTCTAGAGAGAGGCTGCCTCATTTTGACAATCTGCGGAGGAAATTCGGCCAACAAGTCTGAAAAATATGGAAGATTTACTGTCACAATTCTTTGCATAGATAAGGTACTAGTCCAAAAGAAAACCTCAGAAATGGACAAACCTTTGCAAAGTGGGCAACCATGTGACCCATTTGAAGCAAAATGCACAGAACATCTTGACGAAGTTGATCCTGTTTGCAACTCTCTGAGTTCTAGCTCCTCATCATCTAATAATCGTCTAGATAAATTTGACTGCTCCAGAAATTTTGGTGCATCATTTAAAAGTCTGCATACTGTTCGAGGACGTTCACCTTTGCCAGATGGTACCTGAGTTTCACGTACAAAACCTGAGGATTGCAAGTCCTTATCTTTATCATGATCCAACATCTAAAAGTGGATGTCCATAACCAAATTCCAGTACATGCTTTGTTGTCAAAATTGTACATTTCAATCACGTTAACTATTTAGATGCTATGATCTCTTTCAGTTTCTTTCTTTCTAATTTCATCATGTGTATTATGTTATTTTATTTTTATCAATATTTTAAAAAGGCTGTATCAGAAGGGGAAAAAACCCTTAACTTTGGACAATTATCAGATCCCCCTTCTAACTTTATGATTTTATAAAAACCCCCCCCCCCCCAAATCAACACTACTACGAAGGAAGTGTGAACCGCAATTTTCACTGAAAAAAAAGCCCTTGCATAATTTTACCCACCCACGTGAAAAATTCCGGTAAATTCTGTTGTGTGTGGAGGTTTGGGGGTTTGATAAAAGTGAAAGTTAAAGGGGTTTTCTGATAACTCCTAAACTTAAAGGGATTTTTCAGATAATTTGAAAGTTATGGGGGTTTTCTAATAATCATACAAAGTTAAGGAGGGTTTTCTGATATTTAGCCTTTTAAAAACTATTGATGAAACGGCTACCTTTCTTTTCTTCATGACAGGCCTTCTCGCCTCTTGGAACTTTTTTCTCTGATTACTTTGGTTCTGAGAGGAGGAAAATATAGGAGTAAGTGAGGAACTCCAGCGACGGTAAATAACAGTAGCATTCGTATAAGATGTTTATTACATGAGTACAAACAACCTGTGATAAGCATATACAGACAAAAAGCAACTGAAAACTTTTCTGAGTCTTACCTGCTGGCCTCCTCCGGAAGATCGACGTGGTCTCTCCTTAATGGCAGACTTAAAAGGCATGGTTGCACCTCCATCGACAAAATTAAACTTAGATGGAAGCCTAGCATTGTCGGGATTTGTTGCCCTCCATGCTGTCATTAGACCTTTACCGATACCATAATTCTTACAAGGATTAGTTTGCACTTGTACTGGTCCTGGTTTCACAGTAGGAGAAGCCAAAATCTGCCCAAAGAATATTCTAAATGAAGAGAATATAAAAGGATAGAAAGGGCATATTTAATAACTCGAAGGTAGACGTTACTGTAATGAAATACTTCTTTTTTATATGATTTGATTATGAATAAAGTAATAACAAAATTATATTCCATCAATTTTATTTTCATAGAAAAAGGTACAAAAGCAGAAGTGGGTTAGTGTACTTAGCATACTGTTAAATGCTGATACAGGCCGATTCATTGCAAAAGACCAGATGACAGAGATGATAAAACAAGAGTATTCTAATTATAAATTCAAAATTTTCAGACCAAGTATATGTATGTATGTATGTATGTATGCATGCATGTGTATATATATGTGTGTGTGCGCTTGTGTGTGTGTGTGTATGTCTATATGCTATATAGAGTGACTATTATATTTATATTAGATATATATAATATATGAATATATAGTCATATATATATATATATAATATAGGTCGTATACAAACAAAAAAATAGCCATTTTTGTAGTTACTCAAGCATCAAGTGATTGCAAAATTAGCAGTTTTCAAAATATAACTAAACAGATAATGAAAAATATGTGTTAGAAATATTGAATCTCATGATTTTTGTTTTATAGATGTTTTGAGACATTAGATTACGCATGAATGGAGAGATCATCAATTGGCATAGTCTAATTCATGAATCAAGAGGCGCTATCTTAGACTGGATTCTAAGATGCCACTCTATGACACCTTTCCCTATATAAATACATATGTATGTATGTACGCTAAGTGCATAGCGCGCGCACGCCACACACAGTACATACATATATATACATATATATACGTGTATATAGTTAGTGTAATATATAGTAGAGGAAATATGGTTATGCTTGGTACAAGCACAACTTTGTGCTTGGTAGTGAGGGTGGCACAATCCCTCCACTCATTCAAATGAGGGACCACATTCACATGGGGTTGATGAGTGTATGGGATATGCAACAATTTGAAAGAGTGGAGGGAATTATATCACCTCAACTACCAAGCATAAGACTTTTTGTGCTTGTACCAAGCATACATTTTTCTCAATATATTATATATATATATTATATATATATATATATATATATATATATATATATATATTATATATATATATAATATATATATTATATATATATATATATATATATATATATATATATTCTAATTGATGCATACTAAGTACAAAGCTACGAGATTACTAAACAGAAAAGAACTACTTATTGCACTGGCTTGAAGTTGTACTTCATACTTTTCTCCTTTTGGGGACCCCTTGGAAGTTCCAATCAGAACGTAGTAACCCCGAATCTGGCAACAAGCAATGCATCAGACTTTACACAACGAGAAATTAAAATAAAGATGCCATTATAAGCTAAAAAGAGAGCACATTGTGGAAATGTATCAGTAAGTATTCAAACTAGAAACAAAAGGTAGTACGTAGCAAGTCTCCCATGACCAAATCTTTTAGAAGAAATCATCACCACATAGAGAGCAGCATACAGACAAAAATAAAATGGTATCTTTTACATCTTTGCTCAATTGCAAGATGTGATTTGAGCTCCTCTCATAGATTCGGTAACTCATCATATCATTACTTTTCTTTTTCGTGCAACGTGCATTTGAAAGTATATTCAGTAGTTTGAGACAATAAATACTGCTGGAATAATTATGAGAAAGAATGGACACACAAGGCACATTAGTTTTCAAATGCAAAATAGAAGTGCTAGGTACCTTTGTGAAAACAAAAAGAACTGGCGGGAAGAGAATCAAACTCGACTCCAAGTGGAGGACCATCCTTACGAAATACTTTCTTCAAAATGTATTCCTTAGAGAACAAAACTCGCTGGTGGAAACGGTGATTCTTTTGGCCAACGGGCAGGTTGTCGGATGATATTACACCGTATTTCCTTTTGAACTTGACTGACTTCGGATCGCACACACGGCAACAATCTGAAGGGGTGTTATGTTTCACTTGTGCCTTAATTGGTAAACTCCTACATTTCTTTTGAGATGTCGGCTGTCCTTCATTTGCAATTCTGTTGAATTTCCACTTGATGGCATTACAATCGGGTTTGCCACGAGCTTCCATTTCTCTTTTCTCTTTCCTTCTCCTCTCCGCAAACCATGTACGTACCTGCTTGTATGTCAAATTCAACAATGCCGCATATTCTTCCATGGCCTCCTGCTTTGGATATTTCTCCTCTGCATCAAAATATAACAGAAGAAACAAAACCAAGGAATCAACCTACAGATTCCTCAAAAATCGAACCGAAATGCAATGAGAAGAAATTCAAAAGATCGTTAAAGAGTTCCATTAATTGAATAAATAAATTTGCAGAACCAGAGTTACCTGAATAATATTTTTCCAATAAATCAAGTTGAAAGGGGGTCTTTTTCTTAGTTCCATGATCTTTCCTCGAGCTGGTAGTATCATTTCTCATGAATCAACAATGATCTGAGCATTTAATGAAAGAATAAGATCAAAATTAGCCTTAAAGAGCATAAAAATTGACAGCTCAGAAGAAAAATTAGCAGTTGATCCTCTACTCTACACTACGACGCAAGCTTCGAAGCGAACAAGAAAGCCAAAATAAAAGAACAATCAATCATGATATACTTCAAATTCCTAAAAATCAAATACTGAATAAGTGAGATCAGAGAGTACCTAGATATAAAAAGAGTAGCTTGATGAATTACACCAGAAAGAGTAATCAAAGATCGAAGAGATTAGGGTTCATCGTTAGGGTTTTTGTGATTCGATTGAGAATTTTTTATTTTTTATTTTTTATTTTTGGTTTATAAGAGAGAAGGAAGGGAGGACCCTTTTTTGTTTGTCAGCTCAAAACCCTACGGAGGCCCCCCTTAAACCCCAGTGAGCAGCTTGAAATTATCTGAATGAATGAGAGCAATTTACCCCGGCGTTTTATGTAAATTACGGAATTGTCCTTTCCTGTTCGAGAATTCAAGATATTTTCTTTCGAGATTCTTTAGGGTTTTGACGGTTCGGTAAAATGACGATGATGATTCTAAATGATATAGATTTTCTTTTCCACATTATTTTCCTGAATTTGTTTTTATTTTTTATTAAAATTAAAATTGAAATATTCATATATATTAAACCTGCCATTTATTGACCCCAAAAAATCTAATGTCTCTTTTCAAACTACCAGGTTGGATGCACGTGCATTGCACGTGGTTAAATGTCATTATTATTATTATTATTTTGTCTATTTTCTTACTTAACTCGGTTGTAAAATATTTTTTTTATTTTTATGTGAAAAAGTAAAATAATTTATTGTCTATATACCAATATAGTTAATCAAAATTATTAAAATAACGATGGTCAAAGTTAAAATTACATAGTCAATTCGCATTAAATATAATTTACAATAAATAGTATATGAAGGTCGCAATTCTTTTATGAAAAAAATATAACTTTTATGCAAATAATTTGATTCTCGTTGCAATTCTATGATGTCATCTTATAACTTGCACAAATTCATAGTGTAATGTCCTAATTTTTATACCCTACACAATTTAATAATCTAATAATTTCCCCTTTAATGTGATGACTCACGAGGCTAACACACTCTAAGAAAATATCATTTACCAATAACCAAATATCTTAATTATGAGAAATTTTCAAGATAATATATTTAAATTCTATCGATTTTATGATCTGGATTGTTAAAGTTAGCCAGGTATGAAATAACTAATTGATATATTTTCACGCTAGTATATATCCTTTTCATAGTAGAGTGACTTGTTTTTGAGACATAAAATTTCTTTACAACCAATTTTGACTATTTCACGTACTAAAGATATGCTCATGCTCATGTCTTTAAATTAATTTTTAATGAGTATTAGATTCCTCGTTATTTAAGTAATATTCTCCATCTCATTCGATTACTCTTTTAATTCAGGATTTTTTTTAATTTAAATACTTCATTTACGCCTTGTATTAGGACTCACATATATTTCTCAGTACCTTAGTAGCTAGTGATATTTTGATGGGATGTAATTATTTTAATCCAAGTCTTTTAAAATAAATGCAAGTGGTGAAGACCCTAGATCTTTTGTATATATATTGAAAATCTTATAATCAAAACATAAAAAAAAACCTTAAACGATATCTATTTGTGTCATTTACTCACATGTTAAGTTTTCACTAACATGCCTATGGAACATCTCAAAGACACACAATTGGTTAAGAGCCTAAATTAAGAGTTCTTATTTGAGTAATTTTACACACATATTTTCCCTTAACATACCTATTGAATATCTCAAATGCCTAAATATTTGATTTTTAACACTTTAAATAACCATTTTCTAGTCATACAAAAAATCATTTTCCATGGAATAGGTTGCTTATACTAAAATGCTACATCTTTTCTATTTGACATAGTAAATTATTAAAAAATTCAAAATTAAAATATGGGTACATTTCACTAAACCCCCAATAAGTTTGGTGTTTGGAACTAAATCCCCAATATCTTAAAAACTCACTAAACCCCAATAACTTTTGGAAAAAACCTTAAAATTAACATCATCAGTTTATGCATAATAAAATAACCAAAATATACCCCAATAACCCAATAAGTTTTATATTTTTTACCATAGCCCTCAATAATTTTTGGCAAAAACACCCAAATACCATTTGTTTATAAATTTCAAAGTTTTCATAGGTTTGTTTGTGATTATTAGAATTTTTAAAAGGTTGATTATGGTTTTTTAGATTTTTAAATTGCTTTGTTTCTAATTTTATACTTTTTAGGGGTTGTTTGTACTTTTTATAATTTTTGAAGTATTTTTACAATTTTCTCAGAGTTTATTTGCAATTTTCTAATATAAAGAGTATGTTTATAATATTTTTGACTTTTAGGGGGGGCTCTTTGCGATTATTTAGGGTGCTACTTGTAATATTTTAGTTTTTATTGATTTTTTGTAATTTTAATATTTTTCATATGATTTTTTTGAAAATTTAAAATTTTAGGTGTTGTTCGTAATTTTCAAAATTTAACCGGATTGTTTATTATTATAACCATTTTAGCGATGAAAAATAATCCCCAACCGATGGCAGAAGAGTGTCTCATATTATGCATAATCAGATCAGTATCTCAAGATAATCAGAAGCCCATCTCAGTTGACTCAAGATGCCGATATCATGCGAGGACGACTCGAAAGGCGTCACATGTTGACGACCCGAAATGTGTTACGTGTCGTCTCTCGGCCGAGTCGACTACTTAAACACTCCACTCGACAACTCATTGGCGACGCCTTGCAATGACGACTCGAAAGGCGGTACTTCTCGACCATCGTATGAGTGGAAAGACGATGATTTGCCTTGAGCCTCGAGCCCCCCCCTGTACACTGATGACCAATCACCTCATCATAAATGCCATTAAATGCATTATGGACGCCATCATTCCTCTGCCTCCAATAATATTTATGACACATTAGACCACGTTGGCATTACACACCCCATATCACTTCGCATTAAAATGAATTGATCTCTCCTCCTCTCATTGGCGGAGACCTGTAAAGCTGAAGCTGACTTGGCTGCCAGCTCATGCCGAGCCAAAGTTATCACCATACTCTCCTTCCACTACTATAAAAGGAGATACTATTTTTCATTACAGGGTAAGTTTTTTCCACCATTCTCTGAAGTTAAGAACTACTATAGCTCCCTTTACTTCTCCACACTATTGGCCTCTTTGTTTTGATGATGTTTAACAAACAATTTAACACTACTGTTGTTTGTCTAGTGTTTGTGCTTATCTATTTATTATAGACAAACAACATATTGGAGGATGGATGGAATTGCGTATTCACGATCATATCCAATGGAGGTTGGCGGAATTGTGGAGTGAAACCATACAATTCAGTTGAAGATCCAAGTTCTAGCTTCATCCGCAAGATTACCAAGAAGAGCTTATTGAAGATCAAGATCATAGCTTGGATATATTTAGTTTAGGTTTATATTATGTGTGTTAATACTTTAAGCTCAATCATATATACACATACACGTTTTGATTTTGTATATATATAGTTATATAAATACATATATATTTTGGTTTGATAGGTTTCAAGTTTTACTATGAAATAATTGAATACAATTGGAAAACATATTTTTGTTTCATACTTATATGCATATATATGATTTCATCAATATTAATTTTATTTAGTTCAATGAAATCATGTTTTAGTGCATTATATGTGTATTTTGATAAAATACTATATTAATTGTTTATAGACTTCATAACAATAGTTTATATCTTTCTTTAAGTCTACAAAATTATTTTGTAATGTTTCAAAACATGGTTAAGCTAAAATATCAAAACTCATATGTTTATATTTTCATGTTTTGGACTATTTTACAAAATGATGATATTTTATATTTGGGAGGTCCTTTTTGAAAACCAGTTTTTGTAGCATGTGTATTATCATGTTTACAATTATTTTCCAAAGTTTTACATTTTTTTAGAATTTATTTGATATTTTTAAACAGGGTTTTAAATCAGAAAAACTGCTTACAAAACTGTCATTTTCATATATCTGTTTGCGGTCGACCGCCACGGTCGACCGCGCCTTTGATTTACCTTGTGAAGCCAGCAGAGACTTTCGCGGTCGATCATGACGGTCGACCGTCAAGTTGAAAATTCTCACGGTCGACCGCCATGGTCGACCGCAGATGTTTCTGAAAATTTTCTCGGTCTCTAACATGGCTCGCGGTCGACCGCGAGAATTTCACGGTCGACCGCTGTATGCCCAACGACTTTTTTTATACAGAATCTGAAAATCTTTTTCTGGGTTTTTGGGGATTTGGTTGGGGGTTTTGCTGTTGGTTTCTCTTCCTATATAAACCCCTCAAACCCCAACTACCAATAATATCCAAGAAGTTTTTTTAAACAAGAGTTTTAACAAGGGTTTAAGTGTTGTTTAAGTTTGTTTAAGAAGCTTTTAAGCATTTGAGAGTTTGAGTTTGTGAAATCAATTTCACAAGAGCTTGAGAAGATCATCTATTGGTGTTTAAGCATCCAACCATTCTCCTTCCACTCTTGATCTATTGAGAAGTTTTCTAAAATCAATCTAGTTTTATATTTTATATTGTTTGAATATCATTTTATTAAGCTAGTGTTCATATTGAGTTTAGTTGATTTTATTTTCTCTTTGTTTACACACACACAACCATTGAGCTTATTGTATTTACATTCATAGTATAATTGGGTTGTGGTATTGTGTAACTTAGAGATACATTCATAGTATAATTGGGTTGTGGTATTGTGTAACTTAGAGAGTGAGCTTATAATTCGTTCTCATCTATTGTAGAGAACAAACACTTTGTAATTGTGCTTATTGTGAGGATCACTTTGTAATACACTTGTACACCGAGAGAAGTGTGTGGCGAGAGTCGGGGATCGTCCCAAGAGGAGTGGCGTCGGTTGATGAACCTAGGGAGAGGTTGTATCCGAGCACTTGAGAGAGACACGTGTAGTTTCAATACTTGAGAGGGTGTAGAGTGGGATTGCAAGAGTGTGTGAGTTGTAGAGTTTTCGGTAAACTAGAAAACCGTATTGTGAGGTGTAAATGTTGTTTGGGTAAACGTAGAAAACCCGGTTGTGATAGTGGAGATCTCCCCGAGGTGAGGAGCGGAGACGTAGGTCAAGTGGTTAGACCGAACTCCGTGATTATATCGTTTTGTTTGTGATTGCATTGGCGTTCTTATCTTATATCACCTTTGTGTATTGCTCTTCATATTGCCTTATCTCTTTTGTAGATTGTTTATTTTACCCTTGTGTTAGTTTATATATCATTGCTCATATATTT